CAGCCTGTCATTAGGCCATAATGGTATTAAATTAATCACATCTCAGTGTGACAGAGTGTAGATGAAGACTTAATCAGGGGCCTAGGGTGTGAGCCAGATAATATCTTGTCGCCCTTGTCGTGTCTTCCTGCTGCTATTGATTGAGTGTGGGTATTAAGACAGCCCTGGCCTGGTCGCACTATGTCCCACAGCACAGATAAGATGGAAGACGGGCTTATGGTTCCTCATTCAGCACAGGGAGGATTTGAAATGCAAAGTACTGCATAGTCACAGTTGGTACCAGTAGTGAAGAAACTTCATTTGTCATTTTTAATAATTTTGAGAAGATGGTAGTGACATGTTCACAATCAGATGGGTGTTAATATCAAGAGCAATTTTTTTTGTACTCTTCTAACTTCACTGGCTTTGACTGCTTTTTCTTCATTAGCGACAAGTTACAGACTTTATAGCACGAACTATGGCTTCAGAACTTCATGTCCACACGTTATTGGAAGATTGTGGTCACATACTTAAAGACAAGTTAATTGGGTATCTATGATTTGGACAAATTGGATCTATAAACGCAAAATGAGTGCGATTTTACAATGATTGCAGACATCTTTTGTCTTTTGTTGTAAAATCTAGATAGCTGGCACTATTTTCCAGAGCGATTTACAGTCGCTCTGCTTCTTTTCTGTAACTCTGCCTCTCTTCTTTTCTTCTGTTGAGGGCAGTCGGAGGAGGAGGAAATGGATTTGGTGAGTTTTGACAAATGCCTGGGCAAATGGCTGACATGTGAACATGCTTCCGGTAATCACACATGCTAGACTAAAAGCAGTGCTCAAACCGGAGGTTGGCTCTCACAACTGCCAGCAATAATAAATTTAAATAATAATAATAATAATAAAAATTGTCACTGCATGTTTTGGGTTTGGCCTGTGAAAATTGCCTCAGCCTGTTAAATTGGCTCCTCCATCTCCAACACGTCAGTATTAGTCATATACCACCAAGCGTGTCCGCGTATGTGTTCGAATGTGTGTGAGCGTGCATGTGTGTAAGAAGGAGAGAGAGCAAAAATAAAAACAAGTCAGTATTTACTTTTTAAAACTGTAGACACAATCTGAATAGCTTCAGAGTGTTGGTTCAAATATAAATGATTTCTATTTTTTAAGGAAGGGAAGATGACATCATCTTAAATGAAATCATTCTGTGAGATACTTGGTTTTGGTGAAGTCATCTGGCTGGAGAATGTTGAAACAATACACGGAAGCCATCAACTAGATTATGATGCAATGCTGCTTCAAACGTAACCACTGGCAGCTGCACATATGTTTGTTACATTACATCTGAGGATTTATTATAGCATTGTTCTGAACTATGCCTGCATTTGATTAGTTGGAATTTGTGCCTTCGTAGCTCACAGCGTAGTTTGCTGCATGACCACACCAACATGCGTAGGTGTGTTTATGTCGACTGCATGTCAGTTGCTGCACTATCAACACCGGTGCTCTACCTCGCTTCACTCATGGAATTGAAATGCGTCATTTGTGTTATCCTTTTGCACCATCTCAGTTAACAGTTGTTTATTTGATTACAACACTGATCTCTAGACTCACTTTGATTTGTCTCACTCCTGCAGCATTAATTCCTTTTCACATTTAACAAAGTAAAACTCAAAGAAGATTCTTTATAAATCTGGTTAATAATGTGCTGTGTCTACAGATGCATGTCGGTTCATGTGATTTCTGCACTGATTACATTTGTCAGTTGTCTACTTTAAATTGAAGGATTAAACAAATTATTTAATGCAATTATGGAAAGGTCATGGTATCCATTTTTGATGTGGTGTAAAGTGTATCTGGAGTTTTTTTTCTATATATGCATATGTATAGTATGTTTAGTTAGCTGTATTTGGATAAATAGCATAAAGTCCCTGCAGTAAACTACAACATCACTTTTGGAGATTTTGTCCTGTATTTTTAGCCTCTTTCTTGATAAAGCAGTTTTCAGAACAACTGTTAATAATGAGTCAGAAAGATATTGAAGCTACACCATGAAGCTACACCACCACCTTGTGGCAGCTGGTATTATTACACTCATATCCCTGATTACCACTTTAGGCTTACACCAACATAATAATGTCTAGGCTCTGAATTAAACATCTTAAATTATTAGAGCATATATGAATTGTTTGGTTTTAGAGTGTGGTGTTTCTAATGCGCTTTATTTTGGGCTTATGCAACTTCTTTGTTGTCTTTTTTGTGTTTTACAGAACACCCAGAGGATAAGCAGCTCCCAGTCTACCCAGCCACTGGCCACTCCAGTGGTGTCTGTTACCACCCCCAGCTTACCCCCACAGGGCCTGGTCTACTCAGGCATGCCCACCTCCTACAACCCTGCTGGTGAGTCTGGCTTTGCTCTCCCCTCAGACTAAATTCAACCGCCTCAGCTGTGACTGTTTATACTCCACACTGTTGGTTCTGCTCTTTTCTCAGTGGCGCACAGTGTTGTAGTTGAAATGTGAGTCAGTTCTCACTGTGTGTGGCTGCTTTTGTTTTTACAGAGTACTCCCTCAGCAGTGCAGAGATCTCTTCCCTGCAGGGTTTCAGCTCTCCTGGGCTCTCACTAGGCTCCATGTCGGCATGGCAACAGCATCAACTGGGCCAGGCAGCTCTTAATTCTTTGGTGTGAGTAACACACTTCCTAACAAAGACACACTCTCCAGACGCCCTCACATAAAAGCAATACCCACTGTGCTCTGTGATATCATGCTGAATCATACATCTACATATTCCTGGCTTCTCACATTGTTGCACCTCACATTTGTTGAGCTGAACATAAAATGTCCTGCTTGTCTTTTCTGTAGTGGTGGAGGTCACCTACCTCAGGGTTCCAACTTATCCATCAGCACCAGCCAGAGCATAAACATCAAGTCCGAGCCCATTTCACCACCTCGGGAGCGTGTCACCCCATCTGGCTTCACCCCTCAGCAGCCACAGCAAGGGTCCAGCCGGCAGGAAGTTCTGGGACGTTCACCTGCTGACAGCCTCAGCTCCTCCTGTAGCTCATATGACGGCAGCGATAGGGAAGACCACCGGCCAGACTTCCACTCCCCGCTGGGGCTGGGCAGACCCCCTGCTGGCACTGAGGAGAGGGAGAGTCCCTCAGTCAAGCGTTTGCGCATGGATACATGGGTGACATAAAGAGCCCCGAAAATGCTTTCAGTCACCAGCCGGTCAGAGAGAGGGAGGGGTTAGACATAGAGACGAAAGAAAGAGCGAGGGTCCTTAGAGCTATCGTTATAGATTATTCAACTCCATTTCAATTTGTAAGACTGAGATGTAATGTAATAATACACGTGGGGACATATCTAAAGTAAATTCTCAAACTGAGTAAGATTAAATCAATCTCAGTTAGCTGGACTGAATTATATGCACAAGCAGGTGGTATCAGGTACTTGGTGCAATTCAGATGACGTTTGCAGAAGAAAGATGTTCAGAGAGAATTGTTAAACAATAGGCACTAGGTTATTGTAGTCACTGGTCTAGTCAGACACTTACATGTAGTTGCTGTGTTGCTGTTGTGCTTGCAAGTTGCAAACAATCAGAGGAAGTTGTGTTGCTTTCAGGCTGAGGACCCTTACATATGATGTTCACTGCAAGAACTATCCTTTAAATCATGCTGTACAAGACCTTTATCTCAAGTGGCCTCGTCTAATTTATTGAATCAATTGATCAGGAGATGAAGACAGAATGAAGTATAACTAAACAGGAATTTTGCTCATACAGTTAACAGTTGCAACACAACAAAATTTATTGCAATAATTTAAAATAGTAGGATATATAAATGTGCAATTAAGATAATGCGAACCTGTCCAGTTGAACTGGTGAGAACATCGACACGTTCACGTTTGTCTAACAGTTCATCAGTAATATAAGCCAAAGCTGTTATTTTGTGTTGTTTTGTACAGTTGCTATGGTTTCCTAACATTTCACTCGAATACAGCTTTTTTCATCAGTTTAAATTTTTTTTATTGTGCATTATTACAAAGGGTGTAAAGTCATGTAAAGCAGATCTTGAATTGATATCTAAAGCCATGAACATTTGCTGTTCTGTTTGTATAATTGAACATTTGAGCCAAACATTTCCTTTTGTTGTGTAAATAGCGACTTTAATATATATCACCAGGGTGTGAGTACATGCTGAATGTACTGTACGATCACCGTTTTCAAGAAAAGTATATTTTTGTGGAAAACAACCAAGTTTACAAAACTAGACCCTTGACAAGTAGACAACTCACCGCTCAATATTTGTGATTTTGTTAATTTTGCTGTAATCTCTTCTAAATTGAATTATCAACATAGCCTCCCATATGTTTAAGTTCCAGATGGTCCACTGGGTTTTTTTCCTCTCTATTAATGGTGACTGTTTGTCATGAAGACATTGTGATAACAATGCTGTGAGGTTGAAGTTCCACTATTTTCATTTTTGTGAAGGATGATCACAAGGCTAAGGGAAGTGGGGTTTCTTCCCTCCTATTGTGTTAGCTCATGTTAGTTGTATACCAGCAGCTGCTGAATACACTGCCAACATCCAACCCCAAGGTCCCAGCCCCACGCTGAAGAATAATCTATTGTTATTGCAGGTTACTCAGCTGAAAAACATGCAATTTTCACTAACCTGTCATTGGTTCATTGAATTTAAGCAGAAAATATAAATGTGGTAGAAGTAGCTCCTGACCTTAATGCAAAACTGATCCCGCCTGGGCCCATATATAGTTGTCCATATCAGTCTCCTTGGTGTCAGTCACAATTATGTATAAAAATTCTCCTGTTTTCTCAATTGGCTCCACAAAATTTTATTTTATATCAATGCCCTTTAACTAGTAAGAATACTGTAGGCTTAGGAAACGTAGAAGCCAGAAAAGTGAAAATCTGAAGGCGCTGAAATCACGTACATAGAAGCTGTTCTGCCACTAGGCTGATGCCTCAGTTATTACACAGACAAACGGGGGAAAAGGGGCTGTAACTTGTTTTCGTCTTCATCATTACAAAAGCAAAAAAAAATTCTGCCACTAAATTCATAACAACCACAACAACATGATGTCACTGACTTCAATCTCACTGCTGGATTGCACACATTTGAATGACAAGTTCGCTGTATGAGAGAAGTATCACTCTGCATTCACCATGACATACAGTATCGTGTGTATATATTCATCATAAGCTCCATACTAGTTCTCGGTATAAGCCCGTAATGATCTATGCAGTTTTAATCCCACAAATCACACGATATATACAGAATATGATGTCATTACAGGTTGTATTTATTGTACGGCGCATTAGGAAAGAGCTTCAGAGGGTAGACAGACTGTTATCCTGAAGTGCCACAGCTGGAGGCTGCTTGACTGCAAGTTGCAAACATTACATTTTATTAAATGATTGATTTGGAAACCCTGGGGCAATCTCTACATGCTCATATATATTATTAGACATACTTTACATAATGTATAGTTATTCATAATGTAATCCAGTACAATACAGCAGGTGAACATAGCAATAATAAATGACTACAACAAAAACTGTCTGCTTGTCTTGGCAGCATCACCTCATAGTTGAGCACACATGTTAGCACTTAATAACATATCAGGGAATTTTGTAGTTTCTCTATCTATATGCACAGTTAGGAAATGCCTTATCCCAAAGAAAAATTACACCACTTTTATTTTAGTAAAAAAAAAAACAAAACAAGACATTGCAGATATCACTTCTCAAACCTGACCAGACCTGCCTCTTCTCAGAAAGAGTACACACAAGGAAATGCATGGTGAATGCACTGTGATACACTTTGCTCGCTTGGTCCAAATTGTGCACAGCTGATGAATGTGAATGGAAAGGGTAATCATTGAACCTTTGTAAAGGACTTTCCTCACTTTGCTCTGTGAGAGTACACTGCTTTGCTTCATGGCTTTTATAAACAGAACTACGTGTTTGGTAAGTGTTTGTAGTTGATAGTTCACCTAACTAAAGAAGCTGTTTTCGGTTTGAATGCTCAGACCGTTTGGCAGCACAAGCTGGACTTTGTTGCCAACAATGAAATGATTTGTTTCAAAATTGAAAGAGATTTTTAAGTTAATTCACATTTCATTTCCCTTGAATGTGTTATTTTATTTTCATCATACAATAAATATTCAACTTTTTATTAAACAATTAAGATACTATGCTAGATATTGTTGTACAAAATTTGTATTCTTCACAAAAGTACAAATATTGGCTTTTAATGTGTAATTTAGGTTATCTCTCTTATTGTGTATAAAATGAGGTAAACAACTCTTACCTAGAATTTGTTCTCCTGTGAAGTCCCAAACAGTACAAACTGTCAACTTTATTAAACACCTCAGTGTATGCTCAGTCTGAACTCAATGTCTATCTTTGAATTTCACTTTGCAAATGCATTGTGTTGGCCTCATAAATCACTTAGTCCACCGGGGCCACTGTCATTGTCTATCACAGTGCAAACGGCAGCACAATGGGTTTATAAAAACACACATTACATATAGCCTAGGTTTAATGGCTGAGTGCGGTGTGACTGCGACTGGTGGAAGATGCACTCAGGTCCCATCTGGAGGGAAGTAGAACTGTAAAAATACTCCATTGTAAACCATTTTGTAAAATTTTACTTAGATACAAGAACAGAAGCAGGCACTATCAGCACAGTGTAATATTAGGAAATTTCACATTCAAGTTTACAGTGAACTGCAAATTAAATGTTGCTAATTTAAGTGAGCTTCGCATTCAAATGAGAAAAAATTCATTTGTGAGGTGAGTTATAGCTACTTGTTCTTTAACGTTATGGGAGCGTGGGAAATAGTAATTAACTTTAGCCTATAGACCTACAAGATGTCTATTAGTCTGACTGCTGTAGTTAGGTCTTTTTGTGGGGATCAAAAACAAATGTGTAAAACTCTCAAAATATGATGCATTGCAATAGAAACTCCCCAGCAGTTGATGGCAAGTTACAGTTAACCTATGCAAAGCAAGTTAGTAAATGTGCGTTTACTTTTGCACATGTTAATTTAGCTTCTTAGGCCTATTTGGTTACTTAATTGATGTTTGAATTCTAAACTTTACAAATAAAACCTTGAAATCTATTTTCCACCTTTGCTTGGAGAACAAAACTAAACACTGCCATGCAACAACGGAGGTCTTAGGTCAGCTGTAGCCTCGCTCTTTATGGCTGTATTCAGTCTAAAGGCTTGCATGTCAGTATTTTTGTCCCCAAGTGTATGTTCCTGACTCAGTCAGACCAGCTGTACTGAAGGCTGGAGCAGGTCCAGTGTGCATGTGTAGAGTCACCAAGCAGGGTTTTGGGCTGTTTGAGTTGTGTGAGAAGGAGGGCAACAAGACACCTGCCATAGGGGCTTGCCCTGGTCAGAGCCCCAGCCCCGCCTTTCAGCTGGGAGCCAAGTTGGAGCCAAGTTGGGCCTTTTTCATGTGGGCCTGATTTCTTTAAGCCATCGGCAAATATTGAGCAAGACTTGGTCCAGACTCAAACACATCTGTTGTCATATAGCCTTCACTGTCAGACACAGACAAGGAGTGACAGAGTGAACACCAGTGGGTCTGTTGCATTAGCTTATATGTGTGGACAGAAAGCTATAGTTTATACTTTGCAAACACAAATTTTCACTTTTGACGAGCTTAGGCTAAACCACGTTCATCTGCAAACAAATATACGGCTGTCTGAAAGAAATGGAGTTTGATATGACAAGACAGCCACTGAGTGCCAGATCCATAGTGAAGATCAGGGATGAGATAAGGCGAACAGATAGCCAGCATTTCATATGCCTCAATCATGTTGCACAATCCATCAGCAGTATTTTTGGATTGTTTTAAACAGATAAGAAGGACAGTTGTATTGGAGACTTAGGCTAGATTATGGCATTAAGAGCTTGTAAGAGCACTCGCATTAGAGGAAGCATAAAGCATGCAAGTATTAAAACAGATAAATAGCTTCCAACATGCAAATACACAGTGAAATTTTCAGATAAACAATAAACAGATTGACAAAATAGGCTAGTGATCCTATTGTACCGTCAGCAACTGTTTCATTATACCTTCAGTGGTTTCGTGCGTCACTATGGTGTCTTCATTTGCTTAATATCTATTGTCTGTTCTTCTCGCTCTGATCCTACATACCGGAAAGTCTTGCTGTGGGTGGCTCCAGTCATCACAGAAGTCTTGAGTAAGACTCAATATGACTGCAGCATTCTCATGGTCGTTGAAACTCATCTTGTAAGACTGGTATGGCTAGTTTCACTCAGGCTGACCTACCACTGATCATTTGTTTTTAAGCAGGACGGTGCACTGTTGTGCTGCCAGAAACACGTCCTTTTCTCATTATAGTTACAATGGTTGAGCTGCTTATTGGAACATTTACTGCTGTTCTAAGTGAAAGTTGACTCGGTGTGCGGCTTTGTCAGACTGTTCAGCAAAGGTGTATTGAACAGGTATAGTATGATTCTTCTTCTGAATTAGACTGGAAAATTTAGTAGGTCATTTAGTAATTTAGTCATGTATAAGTAATTTATTCACACATAATTCTATAATGAGACATTAGGCCTTAGTGATGGTCACATTTTCTGTGACTATGCATCTTGCTTGTATCTTTGCTTTTGTAAAGTACTGCTAATTTAGCTATTCAGAGGTAGCATTTGTATTGTTATAAGGTAGAAAGTGAAATCAAAAACTGGCAGAGGTATGTTTGTTTGGTGTGACACTAATTCACATGGTAGACAAACAATAGAGATGTCTTTAATATTGACAGTGTATACTGATAAGTCCTCTGAAGCACTCAATCTGCCACTGTGTTACTACATCTTAAGGTTCTGGCAAGGACAGTAAGTACAATAATAGATCCTAAAAGATTAAACTGTGTGTGAGCCTGTCAGTGTAATTGTGTCAGGTTGAGTGTAAGACTGGAAATGTGATGTGAATGTATATACTGAAAATGCCACTTGTCAGCGTGGCCTACATATCTATGTCTCTGTATAACTGTCCACCAGAGGCTACAAATTGTACTTTTTTATCTTGTATTTGACTATTTATATCATTTCCATGGATTGCATCTACTCTACCTGTTGTCTTGTGTTACTATGTACAAATGTAGCAAAAAATGATCTTGATTTTGCTGTTGTTTTTATGTTAATTTAAAAGGCATCATTAAAAATGGAGACCAGGAAAAAGAACTTCTTGGAAAATTTGCGCCAGAAAACTAAGTTGGCTATAATGAAGAAGCCAGGTAAGAAGGCGCTTGCCAAGCAGGGGAGAAATCGGCCCAATCGGCGCAGTCTTTCTGTGCCGGATCTCAGGTTGGAGCCAGGTGAAGCGTATTCTACTGCTTCTAATGCCGTGTTCCCTTATCCGTCTCCTGATGTGAGTGATACTGACACTTTTACAAGTGACTCAGTCAGTGATATGCCACCTGTCACTGACCAACTGAACAATTCATTCTCAGAATCTACGCTCAAGGATACTACAGATTACAAAGCTGCAGCTTTGAATAGAATAAATTCACCAGTGGAGTCTTTGAGCCTTGATGAGCGAATTGATGATAAGATAATTTCAGGCTTGGAGAACAAGGTGATCTCTCCCGAAGAAATCCTCTATGCAAAAGTGATTAAAAGAGCCAAGAGGAATGTACCTAAATTTACTTTTGACCCCATTCCTTCACCAACACCAGACCTTGTAGAGAGAGAGAGTCTCTCTGGTGAAAAGGAGAGCACCAGTGAAGTCCCTCCAGTTGACAGGATACGTTCAGGTACTGTTGCTGCGGCACTTAGCAGAGCAAGCTCACTGCGAGACCAAGTGAGCCCCTACATAGAAAAGAGGACCACAGCGTTTGAACAGAGAAAGCCGTCATTTGAAAAAAGGACTTCGCCAGTAGTCAGACGAGTCGCTCCTGCAGATAGAACATATGTGACTCTGGATACTCTGGGTACTCCTTTGGAGAGTGCAGATGGCATCTCACTGGATTCTGCCTGTGACACTCCCAGCGAAGAGTATGTCAATGCGACCTGGACGACCGACTCAGATGACCCAGACCAGGAAGCCTACTGTCAGTTCTTCATGGAAGATGCCCACACTGAAGAGGCCCTTGAAGAAATAGATGAGGTCAGTTTTATTACAAGTGTATTTAGGTACAGACAGAAGAACCTGTTTTTATTTGAAGTGTGTATGCACTGTAGACTTATGTTGTTTGGAATTTGTAATCAGATGTCAAATGATAAATCGCACAGATATAAATCCAATTCAGCCCACTCTTGTGCACAAATATCATAGAGGTTATTGTTCGGTCACCAGAATCAGGATAATAGGTCAAAGGGAGGTTGTGCAAACTTTTAAAGGTAAAACAAATAGCTTGTTACAAATATTCTATGAAGCAAAACCACAGTAAGTGTCAGTAGCATGTCTTTTAACATAGGTCCCATTTGAATAGTTGTATCCTTTCAAAGTCAAATAATGAGGTTTGGTTTTTTACAGGCTAAGAGGTGCTAGAATTTAATATGGTGACTTGTATGATAGTGATCTTCCTTTTTTTGAGTACACACCATCCCTGTAGTACTTGTATATAGACACCACATATTCTGAATATCTTATATATCAACTACCCATTGTGACATTAAATGTTCAGGCTGCTAGCGCAGCATACTGTATCCTAAGGTTGGTGTTAAATGTAAAGTGACCACCAAGGATCTGACTTTTTATACCCCTGGGAATAGGCTTTCATATCCTGTTTTGCCTTGATACCTCTTAGATAACTTGTTACTAGTTAGTGATACAGTGTGGGAGGTAGAGCTCTACAAGAACACCAAGAGAATGATAACATCTCACTTTGCCTTACACTTGACACTTCTTACTGCTGTGAGCAATACACACTCAGTACTATAGATGCATTGTCCCTAAACTCATTGTCTATAGTCATGAACATTAGAGTAAAGCCATAAATACAGTGTTGTTTTTTTTTAAGTAGTTGGATTCCTTGCCTTTTTGCATACTTTACCGATTTGTAGATTTAACTTGAAAAGGATAAAATTGCCATTTTTATTGAGCAGTTTACACTCAGTAATCCACAACAACAAATTGAAAACATTTTATTTTAGAAATTTTTGCTAATTTAGTGAAAGTCAAAGACTGAAATCTCTGATTTGCAAAGCAGTCACACTCCGACTTTGCAGATGCCCTTTTGGCAACGGTTACAGCTTTGAGTCTTATTGGGTAAGGTACTAGCCAAGTGATAAGTGGTATATTTCAGACAAAGTGCTGCCAAAACACTTCAGCTTTTGTCTCATCAGACTAGAGCATCAGAATCCTCAAAATCCAAGTGGCCTGCCATGGCTTTTGCTCAAACTGGCTTCATCTAGTCACTGTACTGTACCATAAAGGCCTGTGTGATGCCAAGCTGCTGAGATGTTGTCCTTAAAGGCAGCCCTCTCATCTCTGCAAAGGACTTCTGAAGCTCTGTTAAAGTGACCAGTTTGGCTGAAGAAACCTAATGGTTCCAAACCTTTTCCATTTTAGTTACTGAGGGTACTGTGTTACATTCAGAGCTTTAGAAATAGTTTTATATCTTTGTCTTCAGTTTTGTGACAGATGTCTACAGAGTGTTTCTTCATAGTCTGCTTTTTGTCCTGTCCTGCAATGTGAATTGTGGGACCTTATATACAGGAGTTGTGTCTTTCTAAATTATATCTCTAGTCAAGTTCTAGACACAGCTCAAGGATAATTAAAGTGGTCAGGATGAACATGACTAGTGTCCGACAACAAAAGTTCTCAGTAGTTTGTAAATGGAAAAACATTTCTAAAAACATGTGCCATTATGGGCTGTTGAGTGTGGATGGCAAATTAAAATTAAATATACAAAAAATAAAAGGTGTAGAAGTGAAGGTGAACTGAATGCTTTCTGAAGCCACCATGTGATGAGTAGTACACACATCTAGGCATCTTAGCTTAACTATACTCTGCAAAGTGTTTCCACAATCTTTATTACATCCTTTTTTCAAGTAGATGTCCAGTGAAACAGGTGACCTTTCTGACGAACATTTGCAAGATCCTTCAGAAGCTTCTGTGAGTACTGACCGGACTGTTGTACCTATTAAGCTAAGCCTCTGATATGAGAACGTATATAAATATGACTGGTTCTCCTCAGCAGGTTGTAACACCATGTTCTGACGGCCAAGCACACATTGTGTTCCAAAGATATCTCCTGAGCATCATCCTAAAGCAGGGGAGGAACCTGGTCATCAGAGACAAGCGCTCTGGTAGGTCAACAACCAGCTAGAGATTAAGAAGCTGTCGCTTTTGAATCTTAAGGGGATAATGATTAACTCTTTCTAAGCTAACAGGAAAGTGTTCTCCTAAATTTGGCAATTTTTTAACACTCTTGAATGAATTAGTAGAGCCGAAGATGTATGGAGATAAAATACTATCAAAAATGTTACAAATGCGTGTTTAACGTTTTGTCTGTAACAAGCGATTTGTGTGTGTGTGTCATGAGGATCAGAAATGCGTGCTGCGCTATCTGCACGTATAAAGCCTTTTGTGTGTGCGTGTGTCATGCTGTTCACAAATTCGTGCTGTACAAACTGCACATAAAACACATTTTACAAATGCTTAAAAACGATTTTTCGTGTGCAGTTCTTTAGAAAGTACGTACACATTGTTACCTACGCATGCGTGGATCGTCTAACACACGAATCACCTTCCGCGCACACACGGATTTTTGAGAGTGTTTTCCCGCACTCTCAAAAATCCACGAGCCACGAATGCACGGTGCGTTTAAGGACACGTGGAAAATTCGGACATCTGAGTTTCCAAACCTGTTTCCTGAAAAAAAGTATTTACACAACGCTATTCCAAATGGACATTACATAAAATAAACAAAAATATCTAATACATAAGTTTTAAAAGAGAACATTCCAGTTGCCTGCAGTTTGTGGTGCATGTTCTAAATTTTTATATATATTAAATATATGCTCCACGGTTTGTTGTGCTATGCTAGATAAGTGGATGGTTCGATACGTAGATTCGAAGGAGAGACAACCTGTGACTGTTTTCATGCTAAACGTACTAGCGGTGTGTATCACTAAAGCATGTCCCACTGAAAAACAACAACAAACTCCGTCAGGAGGAATATGTGCATCACTAAAATATGCCCTACTGAAAAACTATAAACTC